CGTCAAATTGGATCGGATTGTTTCTGCCGTAGAAGACACATCTGCCGATGCGCCTCGTCGAACACGACAGTCGTGGATCGAGAGGGCGAGGCAGGAACTGCTGCTGCTGTTTGGTTGTGCGAATCTCGTCGCTCGCACCTCAGCCAACGCCGTCTTGTTCATCCCCTGATGCCATCGCTGCGGGCAGCCTTGGGGAGCAGGAAGCAACCGTCGATCGTTTATCGTTGTGTGCGTGTGCTGCGATCAGCAGGATGGTCGCGACCTCCGACGACGACTGATTACTACCGATGGACTGTCGTTCCGTCGTCGTCAAATTATCGACCTTGTTTGTCACGCTCTAATGCCCATGGGCTACGCCACCCGTCAATCACATCTCAGACGATCGAAGTGCGTCTCCCTTATGTCGCCGTTCACCGAGCTACTAGAAACGGTGCAATGGTTGCCTACTTCTAACCTCACTAGTTAACGGAAGTGGTTCACCTCTTTCAGATGCAAGATTATTGCACACTGCCTGATTTCGTTAAATTGTATTCAAAGAATAAGTGAAAAAAATTTACCTATGATTTTAATCGATTTGGTCCTTTGGGCATTCATTTTAAATTGATGTAAAGCATTTTATTCCAAGCCTCTGGATCCTCTGAAAACTCTTTTGGAAGGTACTTCGCGTAGCTGACGCTGGTTCTAGGACGCATCGTCGATTGCGTAGTCACGAGTTTCCTTGACGGGTCACATGTGAGTGTATAATCGATTTTCCGAAGTAAGGACAGGGTTGCTTCTCGGTTGTATGTTCAAACGCGCAGCTGACAAATTCATTTAAAAGATTAAATCAAATTAATTACTAAAACTAAACGATCACTTGCAATTAATTGATGTTGATTTCACAGCCCAAAGGGTGAGCGGAGAATCCTCCATTGTTTCTTTTATTCATGTTTCCCTAAACGAACTTCCGGCAATCATAGCATTTTCCTCCCAGAAACGGAACTGGTTCAAACCCTCATCCGTTCAACCCTTTCTCTACGTTGTTTCCCTGTCTCTGCCATCGTTGCTACGCCGTAATAAACGACCTTAATCATGGAAACCCCGTGAAAATAGCGTGATTGATAGCTTCCGTTTGCTAACCGTTTTTCGGCTAAATTACACATGGTTATTTCGTCGCTCCACTCCCCGGCACCCGCAGAAACTCGTTACAGTGACATTCGCGACGGTTCGTGTCCTGTTCCGTCGTTACTGATATACGGAGCTGATTTTTCCCTTTATGTCTGGTTTTAGCGATGACGACATTTTAGTGAGGATCACAGTAATTCGTTTGGGTTTATTGTTCATGCAATTGAATTCATACCGTTGCATAAAAATGTTGCTTCTTGGCGATCGGAAAGATTTGAGGCACTCGATACTCATTTACAAAGCATAGACGTTGTTTCCATTGACATTCGCCGACATTAGTTGACTCGGACCACATGGATTCGGTGCGGTCCGGGTCGTTGGCGAATTATAGCAACATATGATTATAATGTTGCTTGATCCTGCTGCTACTGTGGAAGTGACGTCCTGGAAATAAACAGCAGAAACTCACTCCGGTTCGGTGATGCTGCCCGCCACTCGCCAATCATCTGTTCGGGACCAAATCCTCACAAAGTGTTCCACTTCTCTGATCTGCTGAGTGTATGGTTGCTTTTTGAAGGTTGATGAGACATTCGCGAGTACACCGTGGTTGGCAGCACCCAGACCGAAAACGTTCAAACGCTGAATGACTTCTTGATCGATCAGTTGCTTCTGGACATCACCACCATCTGACCTCTTCATTTGACCGCTGCAGGACTTTCTAAACCATTGTCCACGTTTGCCAAGAGTCTTGGACCGAGGGTTCACTTGTCTTTCGCTCTTGCCTGGTGAAATTCCGGGTAACATTTCATCAAAGTTTGACCTGCGGTGCTCACTCATTGGCTTGGAGCAGAGCCACTGCTTCTGTGACACTTTTCCCTCACATCACACGTCGGTGCATAATCTCGCACAGATATGTTATATCCATGCCGAGTAAACCCTTTCAAGCCTTCGTGACGTTGAACATTCTCGCTGGGTCCCGAAAGTCGGCGTTAACACCCTCGTGCTCCATTCGCAATTCGTCAGAATGCAGCGGCTGTCAAATTCGATCAGTAATCATTTCGTTCTCACTGCTTAAAAACGCTCGCTCAATAACGATTTGTCCTTCACGTTTATATTCTCCGAACCTTATGGTTTTGACTTGTTAATTAATTAGGGTAATTAACGATTTGTTTCTTTTTTAAAAATACTTGTGGAAAATTATGACATTTTATTTAATATGAATGCGCATGGCCGGTCCCAAGCCCGGATGAGAAAGGAGGAGGGTTGGAGACCGTGGCAAGTCTCCGTAAAATTC